GAGGAGGAGGAGGAGGAGGAGGAAGAGGATGAGGAGGAGGAAGAGGATGAGGAGGAAGGAGGGGGAGGAGCAGGAGCAGGAGCAGGAGGAGGGGGAGGAAGATGAGGAGGAGGAGGTGGAGGAGAGAGAGAGAGAGAGAGCATAGTATCCCCTCACGCGGCAACCTCACCACGGCAAATACGGTGCAAGACATTGGACTGGAACAACAGACCACAATCGCATACCTACCAGCACGACTGGGACATCAGCGCGGCAGATGATAACCATAGTGATACTGGGAGCTGTGAGACTACCAATACAAAGTGGATTGGGAGTGTCTACGACCACACAAATTCCACAATTACGGCTCTCAGAACATCAGTTACCGCACGGAGAGGACTTCTGACTGTCATGTCTCACCATGCTCGTTCTCGGACTCCTCTGTTTGACATGATATTGTATATGCTACGTTTGTGTATGGGATGGGATTCTTCATCACGTGGGTGGGGAGCTTGCTGCCTATGCCATGTTTCGACCCACAGCTTACACACGGCTCCTCCTGCTTCGTCCAGTGCGTACGCCGTCTCGGTCGTCTCGTCTCTCCCTCTTCTCTCACCTTTCCCGCTCCTTTTGCTGGCCGTTGGCCTCTCTTCCCCCCCCCATGTGTTGTGCCTCGCTATTGGCTGGTGGACGGTGAGCTCCCGTATGTCCGCTTGCGGATACATGGGAGTTTGGCGGTCGGCTCCTTCGACTTGTCACCTCCTTTGTTCCCCTCCTGTTTCTCGCCCGTCGTTGCTGCTTGCTGCTGTGCCGCACGCGACGTCACACTCGTCCATCTCTATTCAGACGTTAGTTTACTGCTCACACTCCTACCCTTTGCTCGATATGTGATTTACAGGACTCCTAGTACAGCCCCAGCCTCTTACGATCCACTGCCCTCAGCCAGGCTGAGCCCGCCCAGCAGCGCGCGTGATACTGATGGAGCTGGCGGTGTGCGATGTTCTGACCATTTTGCCAGTCTACTGGGGAGGGGGAGGTTGCGGGAGGTGGTGGGAACCTGGCCGAAGACCTCTACCAGCCTCTATTCTCAGCTGCTTACACAGCGGTTACAGTGGCGCCCCACTTTGTAGCGCCCTAGCTTGGCCAGCACATGCTGCAAACTAAGGCGACTGACTCGCGTACGTACTCTTTTCTTGACGGCTGTCCCACAATTTCAGTTGCCAGTTGTTCATTTCTCCTCGGCCACAATTTGTCTCACTGACCAAGTACACTATGATCTCTGCCAGCCACTACTCTCAAGATAAGACACCGAATAGGCCGGCCGCTACGTATGCGCCAGCCTCTCCTGGCAACGCCTCACTCACCTCTGAGAGTTCATACGGTACCCACGGAAATTTTAGCACGTCGGCAGGGGACGCAGTCTCAAGACGAGTCCCACAGACTTGCTACACTTGCTACCTCCTGCTCGCTGCCAGAGCACACTGACGCATATAAGCCTATATCGCCAGGCTTGCTGTCTTCTGGGATGGGGATGGGGTTAGGACTAGGTGGGGCGGGTGACGGGCCGAGGCGGTGAGGGCAGCGACGGGGCACGCCAGTGTGCAGCGGTCTTTTTAGCCAGCCACCTTACACATTGCCTGCACGCGCCTCCTGTACCCACTCTGTCTCGCGTCGCCTGTCACTTGTGTCACAATATGGCTCGATCTGAAGAAGATCTTAGAAGGTGGTGGTGGAGGAGCTTCACCCGTTCAAAGTGAACGTACACTGCCTAGGCCAGCCAGCACCGCCTGGCCAGCCTACCAGTGCTTTATCCCAACCTTTACCTCCCTCCTCCTTACTGGCCATCATACGGCGAAGGTGCATCCCTCTACCGAGGAACCGAAGAGCGGGCCTACGGATGGCGAACTGAAGGCCTAACAAGGCCTGAGGGACATTTCAAATGCTGCTCT